TGAAAGAAAAAATAGCCTGCACAGTTGGAGAAGTACTGTAATGATTTCTGAGAAGGATAAAAATCTGATGTTAGAACATGATAGAAGCAGTTAGGAGAGGGGAAAAAGAAAGAAAACATCCTATTAGTCATTGTTATGAAGTTGAAGTTGACTGAATGTGCTGAAAAAACACGTGCATAGACAAATACTTCTTCCGTGTCAGTAGTCAGACATCAACCACAGTTCTGCCTTCCATTAAGGTGCAGTGCTCCAGGGTATTTAAGACCTTCTTTTCATTGGTAGAGCCATAGAGAAACTTAAGAGAATCAATAAGTTAGACACACTATTCATATGATGTGGATCAAAGCTGGGAGCTGGAGTAAGCAAGAATCAGTTCAACCTCAAGATGCAACTCTGAGTCTTAGACATCCTTGCTGAAATGTCCAGAAAAAGGAAGCCTTGAAAATTGTGCTTTCTTTATATTAATAACTTTCTCCATTTGGGTCTGCACACAGAGGGGGTAGCAGATTCTTCTAGACTGTTACTTCTCCTCCTTGTACTACTTTCCCTTGCTGCTGTGGATCTACCGACTCTGAATTTCCATTTAAGGAAATGGGGATGGGCAAACAAAGGGCTAAGAAAGGAGATACCAAGTTATGGCTCTGTCATAGTTCCAGTCTACCAATTCTTTGATCCCTCAAATACCATAAATTTTGGCAAGTTTCAGTTATTCATTCATTAGATAGTGGGGTGTTAAAACACTGGAATCTTACTGGGGGCTTATAATGCATGTTTTTCATTTTTGGAATTCAGAGGACACATATAAAGATCTTCTTCTCCTTTCCAACACTAGATGACTTTCCCAAATGTATGATCATGCTGTGAAAATTGATCTCATTGTAGTTGGAGTAAATGGAGACATGCTGGGCTCATTGACTATTTTTCTCTTCCAAAGCTGTTTCCAAACATTTGGAAGGAAAAGAGATAAACTGTTTGCTTATTAGAGAGTAGAAAACTAAACAGTATCATGAGCCTCAAACCCCTCTGGCAAAGGACTAGCTCTGATACATGACAGAGAAATTACAAGTGAAAAAGTTTTGATTTATTCATTCTTAGCTGAGAAGATTGCTTCTGTGTGGCCTGAAGTATTGATCATGCATGAGATGATAGAAAGGGCTGAGACAAGAATTGGTACCCATATGCTTGTGTTTTTTCTCAGCTCTGTTCAAGGACAGATCCACTGAGACACAGACAGTGCAGATAATTTAAGAGGGAAATTTTTCCTGTTACTTCCAGAATTGGTTACAACTCAGTTCTGAAAATAATCTAAAAAAGAAAAGAAAGAAAAAAAAAAAAGAAAAGAAAAATAATCTGTTTCCTTTGCATTATTATCTGTTCAGGCCTTAATTTCTAATTAACACTAGATTCTGTTTAAGCTCACTGAATGTTCTCTCCTAAGAGAAGACAATAGACACTTATGATGAAATATATATTGCAATCATATTTTTGACATGTATCTTCACTAGATGCTTCTGAATATGGCATAAAACCACTATCACTCAAAAAAATTATGCTCTAGAGATCTTTCAAATACAAAAGTAGACAAGAAAATCACAAAAAAAAGCCCTCTGCACCAAATGCCAACTTTGTAAGTAAAAGTAGCTGCGCAGGACAAGATGATCAGATTTCTTGCATCATTTGCAAAGTCTAAAAATGTTGCATCTAAACCTGTTTCCCCTTCAAGTCTTCAAACTACCAAGCCTTTTCACCTCAGTCTTTCACTGCAACAGAATCATTGTTACAAAAAAATTCTTACAGGCATTTGATAGGCCTCATGACTCAAACTATTTGGTTGTTTCTGACGATGAAGGTTACATGGAAAATTGATTAGAAGTAGATACAAATCAGTGAAAAGTAAGAGGGGACAATTAAAAGAAAGAGAAGTTATGTTGGTAGACCTTCAGTTTCAGAAACTGGATGAGAATTGCATGAAGAGGGATGAACTCCTTCAGGCTTGTTAGAGCAGATGATACACAAGCTTGTCACACTTAAAATTCAAATTATAAACCCTCCATCTAAGCTGAGGACTTGAATACAGCAGCAGAGCAATGGCTTTTACTGGTCTTTTCTTGCCAAGAAGCTTGAAAGACATATGATTGCAGCAAAGGTAATCCCCTTCCTTCCAAGCTTTATAGAGAATAGTAACATCTTCAAGCTCACTTCAGACTCTGAAATGTTATCATTGGCTCAGAATTCAACATAATGTTACAAGCACCATTGCCCCTTATATTGTTCATGGTAAGGCTGAAGATTTTCCTGAATTTTACATACATATATTTTCCTATTTTGTTTCATCTTTGAAAACACCTAATATCAACAGACCCTGTGAACTTATACACCCCAGAAAAACCTGATTTTACTATAAGCAAGAAGTTGGTCTTGAAAATTCTAGAGAAGCCTTACAACATGAATTATTTTATGATTCTATAATACTAAAATGTGAAAAATATGCAAAAATTATATGAAAATAATGTGGAGATTAAAAATATAATAAAATCAGAACATACCCATGGCCCAAAATAAAACTGCTCTTTCCACCATTTTTCTCAATATTATTCTAAAGGAAAGTCTACAATCATAAGTTCATCCTCATGAATTACATTTAAAGGTAATAACATTTCCTCTAAAAGCTAATCTACATTCCATTTTGCATGCAGGAAAGCAACAATACTGGAACAGACATCAGAGTTTATTACCAGAGAGCATTCAAATTACTTTACTGAGTCACCCAATTTCAACTTCAGAGGGACTGTAGCATTTATAAAAGTGGCTGCTGTGGCAAACATCACAATTATTCCCACCAGCCTCTTCCTCTAATACAGAGAAACTAATCTGGAGACACATGTGATCCCCTGTCCACCTGCAAAAGATTGACAAGGACAACTTCCTCCACTCCATATCAAGGAGTACATGGTAAGATTGGATGGAAAGGATGGAGCTTTAGAGAAGCACACGGCTTACATGGATCAATGTATCCTTGTAAACTGGTAGAACTAGAAGCAGTAATGAATGAATACCTCATTCAATACCTCTGTGCTCACCTATCAACAAAACAGTACATGGCAAACTTGCTGTTTAGAAGAAGAACCCATTTTGGTAACCATGCAGCACCTCTAAGTACTTGAGGTGACAAAGTCTGTGTTTATTCTGTTGTTATTACCTTTTACAACTTATGGAAAGAGAAAATTTTGAAATTCTAGATATTTTCCTGCATAGAAAATACAAAGAAGATAGTTAGGAGGGGCTGCTTGCTTCCTTGAAGGTTCTGGAGAGGGAGCATATTGCACAGCATCTAGCCTATGTCAACAAATCAGTTGTGAAGCTTGTTAGAAAGCAACCCTTATTTTCCATATAGAAAGAGGGGCATCATTCTACTCTACTTTCATGAAAAATGTTTGTTGTGACCCCTAAAATAATGTTAAAACATTTATCCAGAAGAATTTTGAAATAATTAGAAAGGGAAACTTGGTGGAAGGCTTCCAGTCCATAAAAAACTTTTGGATCTATTTCCTTATAGAATAGAAACATCATAATTTCTGGAGGAAAGAAAATTACAAGTGCACACAAAATGAAAACATGTTGTTCCCAAAAACTTAAAGACATATCTACTCAATGTAGTAAATGTAGACATTCTAAAATAGAGAAATTAAAAAGCCCTCCAATATGTCAATGTCACCAAAACAAAGTGAGAAACAGAAAAAAAATAGGATACTTTCCACCTGAATAACTCATCAAAATTATCATACTCTGGTGGAAACCATGTTTTCCAGCAGTACTTTTTTGCAGCCAAAACTACTAAACAGAGCCAAGCAGTCCCACAGGGGCAGAACAACCAAACATTCCAAAATTGAGAAATGGATGAAAGATTTACCAGCAGACTGAATCCTGATTACTATTTGAATCCTTGGTTTTATGTCCTTTGAAGGTAAACCTAGATTTTTACAACTGTGCCTATGAAGTTTGGTGAGGGCAGAGAGGGAGAAAGAAAATGAGGCATCAGCTCAACCTGGGGGACAGAGTAATTAGTAATTAGTAATAATAATAGAGGGAAAAGAAAGGAAGGGATTTTTGAGAACTGGGGTTACACTGCAGGCCTGTAACCCTGCTCTTAGCTACTGTTCTCTTGGTTCACTGAGATCAGTGTATTTCAGTTTACTATCAGAGGTTACAGGTCCCTCACAACATGAAGCAAATGTCTCAGAAACTTCGAGAAGTACTTTGAGCTTTCCTATTAGAAGTTCCTCTTGCTGGAACTTCACAGAGGGACCAGCAGAGAAAGAGTTTTTCATTTCTGTCAAGGCTTTTGGAAGGAAAGCCTTGCAGGAAGCATAAATGTATCCCAGATTTTTGTATGTCTCTTTCCATTTCATACCCACAACACAGGCACCTTGCTTAGCTTGTTAGAAAATTATCATTTAATAGGCACTCATTCTATTTCCTATCACTTAATTAGGTTTTGATCTGTTTGAATTAACCTTCAAATTCTCACTGTGTAGAGCAGGAGGCTTGGGCTAGAGACCTCCTCCTGTCCCTTCTCATCTAAATGAGAAGCCTACAGTTCCACAGTTCAATGAAGAAAAATTCTCTGTAGAATGTTAGGGCGAATACCCTCCATTATTTTCTTCACAGGATGGAGGACATGGTGATCAAGCTTTCCTCATAAAAATAGCAAAATCTGAATTTTAGTGACTAAAGACTTTCTGTATTTCATGGAACTTCATAGTTAAACAGTACCAATTTTTTTTTCTTTTACATGAAATATAATTACGGTCTCCAACATAAATCTGATTCCTAATGTCCTGTAAAAAAACACATAATTCTGCAAATGCATTCACTGAAATTAAAAGCTTCAAAAGATCTGGTAATATTTGAAAAACCAAATAATTCTTTAAAATTAAATTTAATTTATGCTATGAAAATGGCCACACATACAAATGGAAAAAAAATAGATCTGCACTTACAGTTCTATTGCCTTGTTCCACATGATAACATATCCAGAAAGAATGAAGGACTCAATATTTACAATGTGTGTATTTCCTCTCTCTGTTCCAACATAAAGCCATTTACTCTGGAAAGGTAGATGGCAGTAAGTAATCCTGGAAAAGAAAAAAACACAAAACAACAAAATAAAAGTGACTGAATACCACATTAACTATATTTTTTAACACTTCTGCAGCTGAAAGAATTATTCTTTCCATTTTATAACTTGAGAAAAACCTGCCCAGAAGGCATTCTGAAGAATGTGCAGGTTCTGGGGGTCATCTCCAGGAAAATGATAAAAGAGAACATGAAACAAAACAGGGCCATCCTGCCTGCCGATATTAAGGCCAGGACAAAAGAAAAGCATCACCTGAGCACTGAATTAAGTCTATCTATCTCCATGAGTATGTAAATTGCACTTTGATGGTAGTCAAGACTCTTAAGGAAGGCTTTCTTATATCCTTTCTCAGAATAAGCAGATTATCCAGTCAAACAGAGTTTTATAGACATCAGTGGAATTCATGTTTTGCACAACAGAAGAATAATACCATAATTCACACGAGAAAACATTCATTTATTTGCCATCTGGAAGAGCAGGGCCTTAGATAAGAGCATTTATCAAAACTGAACTACCACAGACACATTGCACCCTACACTCATTACAAGGTGATGAAAAAGTGCTACATTAGCTTGGAAAGATGTCATGACAATTTCTCATGATAATACATAAAAGTTTCCACAGATGACAAATGAGTAGGTTCAGGTTACTTTTATATTATATAGATATTACATACACTAAAACGAAACTAAATCTATGACATGAGAAAACATTTGCTACTAAAATGTAAGTGAACGCATGCTACCTACAGAGACTGAAACTTAATCCAACCTTATGGTACAGACTTGTAAATGTTGACTAAAAAGCAGGTATTTTGCTTGGTATGTCACACGTTATTATATTTATCACTCAGTTCCACAAACAGGCTATTTCTGGCTTTTATATACAAACTCAATTTTTTCTTCCTTAGCACCTTCAACCACCACAAAAGTACATACAATATTTAAAAGCATGCATATTAAAAAAATTTAATTCTTATCGTATAGCAATTTTTTGAGTTTATTATAAAGGAGTGAGGGGGTGTTGGCAATCTTTCAGTAATTTGGCTCTCTCAGTCAAGTAAAGTCCTCTGCGCAGAGCATTTGCCACTCTTTAAGGAATTGATCAATAATTATACAAATTAAATATACTTTATGTAATGATTCCCTGTAAAGTACTCTCAACAAACAAAAAGGTTCCAAACAGATTATACTCAGTATTTGCATAGCTCTGTAGTTTTCCAAGTATCTAATAAACTGTCAGTACATTTAATGCTAGATTCATTCAAGTGAGGAAAACTACTTTTTTGTACTTATGCATCACACTGGATTGAATACAGTTGAAATATGGAGTCGTCACATTTGTAATTTATGGAGAAACTTATTGTGGAATCATGGAATAAGGCTTATCCTTTACAGAAATCTTGTTTTGTTGATTAAAGCCAGACCTAAGTATGAGATTGCCTTTGATCTGTCCTGCTGTACAGGGCTAAATTTTACCATCAGTTGTCTAAGTTTGGCAACAATTCCAGAGCCTTTAGTGGAAAGAGCACCAGCTTTTTCAAGAGAATTGCTTTGAGAATAGGAGCTATATTTTAGAAGGTATAACTAAAAATGCCTTTAAGCAGCAACATAATACTGAAATTGTGGATACAGTCAGACCAACAAAGATCCAACAGAAACAACTGCAGAAGGTATATGCCACCTACATAATCCTTGATGGAGCTCAAGCTATGAGCTTTATTCTTCTGCTCGTAACAGGTGCCAGGAACCATTTGCCATTTTGGCTTCATAGTTTCAAAAGGGAAGTTTTGTTCACATCTTTCCTGATCCTTTTCCTTTAAACAACACTTTCTTTTGTTTTCTCTTCTGGTGCACCATTTCCTTCACTTCTGGTTAAATTCTTGTTTAGTCCATTTTTTTGGTTGTTGTTGTTTCATTTCTTGCATTTCTGTGCTACCTCTACTCTCCTTTCCTGCACTGCAAAGCATATGGATGCTTTGCTAGGTCCCACAAAAAACTTCTCTGGCTAATAAACCCTCTTAATCGCTTCATGTTGAAGATCACCCAACACTTGTTTGTGGTAAACTGTTAAATGACAGGAAGAGGAGATAATTTTGACTTGAAAGTGTTGAAAATGTAGCTGTCTAGTCACTAACAAAAAAAGCCTAAATTCCAAAGTGAGCCCTACTTGACTTGAATGCTGCTACTCCAAATTCTTGCAGTAGTGTCATCAGACTAAGCAGGTTTAAGTCATCCTAGGATAAAGCTATTTTTCAGTCCTTTGTTAAACCCAAGCACAAGCCACTACAGGGTACTGCAGAAAACTTGATCTCCCATGTGCAAAAATGAATTCAACATTTTGATTATGAATAAAGTTTCAACATCACCTCACACACTGTTTGAGGCAGCTTTGGGCTGCTTTTCATCCTTTTAGAGATTTGCTTCCATGTCATAATTTCTAAGACACACTGCCACAACAACCAACAGAAAAAGTGGGGGTCTGCATTCCCAGATGTTGCATGTCCTCCGTTTGCCTGCCTTAGGTTTAAAATTTCAAGAACATAATGCTTTAAAAACAAGGTCCTATAGCAAGAGAAAAATCAGACTAATGTAGTAACTACCAAAAAGTTGTTAGGTCATAAGTTACTAGACTTAATATCTTGCTGGCCTATCTGAAATCCCAGACACGAGTCACTACTAAGCCTGGATGCACAATATGAAGGACCAAAAGAGAATTATGTATTGCTAAAGGATGGAAAAAAAAGCACCACAGACATGCCTGTTTTCTTAAGCCCAACTATTTTCTCTTAAATAATATCATTTTGCTCTGCCAAATGTATAGGACAGCCACGTAAGAAAGTATCCTGCATGTTCTTTCTTTCACAATGAAAACTACCCTATGAATCTTTATTGTTTACCCAAACTGTTATTAAACATTATGAAATGCATAAATGTCATTATGAAACCTTTTACAATATGTGAGCTTATAAGAAAGTAGCACTCCCTTAAAGAAAATCCAGGTATGTAACAAACTTATTAGAGCACAGGGATTACTAGGCATTTTAGTACAATATATTGTTAGGCTTCACCAAACAAACCGATATGATTTTCATATTCTCCTAAAACTCTGCACTTCTCTGAAGTAGTTTTATTTTACATTATGTAAATTAAATTCAAACTGCTTTATATATTATAGTCTTTTCACTTCTACAGAAAATATTAACTTGACTTTGAGGCTTGGAAGCTTTGAAGCAAGACTCAGATTTTTAATGAACATCTTCCATCTCAGTAAGTACTGAAATTACATAATGATTTCTTCAAGAGAAAACAATGAAGTCTCATACTGTAGTTTTCATTGGGGATGAAAGGTATTCTATTATATGACTCTGTTAGTCATATATCCCACAAGCAAATTAAGATGTCTTTTGATGCCATTACAAAAACGAGTCAATAAGCCAGAAAGAAAGAAAGGCTATTTTTCTTTTTAAGAAGTTAGGGGTTGTACTGAATTATGTCAGTATGAAGTGCTTCTGACAAAGTTTAATCAGATTGTCAATCTGATTGAGATAACATGCAACAAAATTAAATGAAAACTTGAGGATTTTCTCATTGTTGATCACTTAACAGAAAGTCAGCCAGAAATGTGGATATTGTACATTCTTAGCAGCAAACCACAACATAAATCCTATTGATCATTTTAAGAAATAGCGAAAAATTGATGAATTGATACAAAAAAGGTGTTTCTACTCTGCCAGAACAGTCTGAAACATCTTATAATTTTTTCCAAATGACAAACCAGGATATAGAATATTCTGTAGGATATAGTAATTTTTAAAAAATCAGAGGTACTACTAAAATGCTTAAAGTGGAATTTAGTAAGGAAAACTATTTTGCTAAGGTCCTAAAAAAACTCCATATTATTTACATAAATTATGAAAGTAAAAAAGAGATATAATGGAATAACTGAAAGAGGCATTGTCAAAACATTGAACTTTATTTTAGAAAGGAATATATTCTGACTAGCAAATCTTGAAAAGGTATATTTTTCAGAAAATCTCAGCACTCTAAAGTCTAACAACCATGGCCAAAACCTCACTGCATATTAGTAGAATACTACAATGTTAAAATAATTTAGAATGCTATAGCCTCTAAAGTATTAGTAAAAACTCTCAGATTACTTAAAATCATCTTTATTATGTTAATTGTATTCCTCTAGGAAAAAGAAAAGATAATTTTGAGAGCACTTTTTGCCTCTGCTTTGTTATTTTTGTTTTTTCTCTTTTTAGCATGAAAAGTTTCCTGGAACACTATTGCTGGTGGTGAGTGGGAAGACCTGCTGAAGGGTGGAAAGTAAATTGCATTTTTGTCAAAATGAGAAACAGTTATTCCAATTTAATTATTTAGTCGTGCATTTATAGACATCAAAACTGCAATTAAATTTACACTGTCATTTCTCCCTTTATACAGATAATCTTAAATATGAACAAGCATAGAAACTGTGTATTCCTTATGCCCAGCACTGACTCTCAGAGTTCTGTTTCTATAAGTTTCTACAGAAAAAAACCCATTAGCTTGAGCTCCCTTTCAGAATCCTACCAAAATAATCTACAGCATCCAGGTTCTCAGGAAATATGGAAATCTCACAAATTTACAGGAAAAGAGGGAGATAAAACATGAAGGAGCAGTAACTAGGGAACATGAGTAGCTGACAGGAAGCAAGCGCATGCCAGTCACAGTCCTAGCCCTGCCCTATGCTCTCAGGGCTCCTTAGGGACTGCCACTGTCTCTACACCCAATTTACAGTGAGTTGCCCCAGCATGGACGAATTCAGCTGCTGAGAAAGTTAATCACCTTCTGAAGAAGGTTATGGCTATCAGAAGTCTACCTTTTCGCTGCAGTGATTATGGTTTTTTTCCTGACTCCAAGGAGTTTCTGCAGCATCCTCTGGTGCTTTCAGTACTTTCCACTAATTTATGCTATTTCCTTCAGCTGGTCATTCCCAAGAGCTGTTCTCTTG